CACAGTAGGCAGGAACTTCTCTTCCTCAGGCGGCACAACAATTTGTGCCCCCACCACCAGTGGCGGACCCAGAGATTTGTGAGAGCGGGGGCACACTAGACACTAAAGTTAGTCTATAATAAAAACTCCAAATGTAATAAAAATGGTAAAAAAATGTATTAAATTATACAGAATAGTTAATTACATATTAAATAGTTCAGTGCTGCAACTTTGGTAAATCAAGCCTACGAGTTTTCATATTCTGAAAATGTTGCATAATAGTTTCATTATCGATGCTTCTAAAACATCTCTCGTGATGTAGCACACCAAGCAATCCGAGATAGTCATCTCCCATCTTATTGCGAAGATCTGTCTTGATTATCAACAATTTTAATTTTTAAAATAATCCCCCAACTAAAAAGCAGGTGCCGTCAATGCAGAATAAATTGAAAACAAACTTACAAATCAAGGAAATATGGGAGGATTGAGCGGTGTGGGCGTGCAGCGGTGCAGCGTCAATTCAGCAAGACAACGAAATCCCTAGAGGTCAGATCCAAGGCAGCTACATCCCCTAAACTCGTAATTAGTAAACCGTCCGCGTGAGGTTTTGTTTTGGGAGAACTTCGGCAGTTCGACTTTTATCATTCTAGTCTTCCAAATGTTAGTGGGTTTTTAGACTTTTAATACTCCGTAGTTTTAGTTGCCCGCACATTGGCTACTTTTTTGCATTTTAACTTTTTTTGTTACTTTTTGTTTTCAATTCTTAATTATTTTTTGGTTTTTTGATAATTCTATATCTTTTATTTTAATTCAGCTAAAATTTAAATGTTTTGTATTAATTTTTTATTTATATAACGGTAACATTTTAGTATCTTAATTATCAAATATTGCTATGAAGCCGAGACACTCGTTTTTATCCTAAGTACTACTAGTGAAATTCCGGGCTTGGAGCGGGGGCACGTGCCCCACCTAGCCCCCCTTAGGTCCTCCACTGTCCACCACCACCTGTAATGATTCCACCAAAATATACGGCACGTTGTATGGATTATGGCTGCCACAATGATGAATGGTGATGATCCCCTCGGCGTTTATGCAGTCTCCTGTGAATCTTGCCAGGGGAGTCAGCTCACCTTTGCTCAGATGCATCCTCTCGAACATGTCCCAATATAGGACGTTGACGCTGCTTCTTGTGTCAACTAGGACCCCCCCGCACAATGGCGTTTTTGATATCCATGCTGATGACCAACTCGTCTCTGTGCGGTCCTGGGGAACTGGGAAGGTCGGACGACCCAAAGGTGATGGCCTCTATTTTATTTTTCTTGGGGAGTGGGTGAGATAGGGAACCCACATATAGGGTCCGTTCAAACTTCTTTCGGTCGCCCGGAGTATCCTCAGTCTCTGCCCCACCGATGACCTTGATCTCCATCTTCTTGTTGCCTCGAGGACCGAGGGAGTCCTCAGGACGTTTATCAGCACTATGGTTGTAACACTTGAGATTAATTTAAATGGATTAATAGTACTACTCATACCAGCAGAAGTGCATCTCCTTTTAAGGTAGCTCATCACCCATGAACTCCAAAGTTAAGCGTGCTTGCACGGGAGTAGTCTTGGGATGAGTGACCTCCTGGGAAGTTTCTCATGAGTGAGGACAAAGTGCGCGGTAAAGGCTTGTGGTGGTCTGTGAGGACAGTACTAGAGGTCTGGAGTAACTACCTCGGGCCCTGCGGGGCCGGGGCATTACACGTGGTATCAGAGTCATGTTGCGACAGTGTGCTGACCCGTTGGATATCGGGCGGACACTTAGCGGGGGAGGATTATGAGATTTGATTGAGATTTGAGATTGGTTTATGGGCGCAACAAGGACGTTGTGTTCCTAAGTGAGGGTGATTGTAACACTTGAGATTAATTTAAATGGATTAATAATACTACTCATACCAACAAATGTGCATCTCCTTTTAAGGGAGCTCATCACCCATGAACTCCAAAGTTAAGCGTGATTGCACGGGAGTAGTCTTGGGATGGGTGACCCCCTGGGAAGTTTCTCAGTGCGCGCATGAGTGAGGATAAAGTGCACGGTAAATGCTCGTGGTGGTGTGTGAGGACAGTTTTAGAGGTCTGGAATAACTACCTCGGGTCCTGCGGGACCGGAGTGTTACAATGGTAGTCCACGTCCTTGGGCTCCGCCTCCTGCCGGTCGTCCCGACACCAGATATGGGGGGGGGGCAAGTATGCCTCGACCCTTGATATTTTCATATATTTGTCCTATGGGGACCACCAGGGGGTGTACTGGGGCGGTCCTCCTGATGTGCATCGTAGAACGTGCTGTAGGGTACCCTTGGTGCGAACCCGCTAGTGGTCTTCTTCTTATTGGTCGAGGGGAATCCCCAGGCCCAGCCGATCCTCCATCTTTCGGGTCATGGCGGCTGGCGCCCTGTCCCTTAGGACAATCTCTTCCTCAATTGTAGCATACTTCTTCGCTCGGGCCAGCACCTCAGCGTAGCTGGTCCAAGATCTCTTTTTCAGATCCCTTTACATGTCCCCTGTCACCAAGGCATTGGTGAAAAGGGTAATGCCAGTGCATTCCGTTAGGTCATTGACTTTTAAAGTCTCGGCCCTCCACCGGATTAGGAAAGCAGAAAGGGACTCTCCGGCGCCTTGTCGGACGCTCATCAGCGAGCTGAAATGTTTTTTTCGGGGTGGTACTGGACGCGAACTGTGCCATGAATTGTCTATGGTTCTGGGCCTCAGTTGTCCGAACCATTCATGTGCTGACCCCCGGAGGGTGCTGAATAACAGCATGCAGATGGCATCATCGGATGCCCCTAACATGGTGAGCCCACCCTGGAAAGTGAGCAGATGGGACTTGGGGTCCCCGACCCCGTTGTACACCAACGTACTTGGTGGCCTGCACTCACGTGGGATCTCTACCGCCATGATTCTTGCAGAGAAGGGGAGGTGAGTGCAATACGAGGATGCGCCTGGACGGTCTCTGCCCAACGATTCAGCTCGTCTATCTGCCTCTAAATCGCATTGAATTTCACATCCTGTGCCGTAGGGCCACAAGATTGACAGCGACTCCCGCAATTCTCGCGCGGGCCGCGATAGCACCGTGCTGCCTCTGAATGACGCGGGCGCCAAGCCCCTCCACGTACTAAAAACGCTGCCCCACATTGATCACCATGTGGGTTGGTTACCTGGTCTAGTGGTTGTTGCGTGGCATTACTGGGTTGCGGCCCCGGGCCGCATGGTGCTGCCCACGCCTGGGCACTCTTGCCCCTTTGTGGCCTCCCATATCATAAGAGCGCGACGTTCCGACGATCCACGTATAAACCGAGGCACGTAAACCCTATGTTTCACCTGTCCACTCTCTGAACGGTTGCATAGGCCTTATTGGGGGGGGGGGGGAGGTGTACGCTCCCTACTAACATGAGGACCCCTCCTGGCTTCAAGGGGAATCAAGCCCCCGCCATTCCCCTGAGTCCATTCGCTACCGATCTGCCCGACATAAGTTATAGTGTGTGATCTCCGACTGCTTTCTAGCTGTTCAGAGAGGTCAGAGGTATGTTCAAAGGCAATTCTAACCACTTTGCTTGTTTTGAGAAGTTCGTAAGAACCTGCTTAGGGCGAAAGCTTGTTTGGAACTTTTAGATCAAGTTTTCCACAAATGTTGAGGTTTATTCCTTCAACTCAAAAGAGCCAACACATTCCTTTGAGTTTCGAGCGGAATATTTAGTGGATAAGTGGATTATAAGTGATGAATAAGCAGAACAAATAATGGACAAGCATATAAGTCAGCCTAGCAAGTGGACCATGTCTTATTACTCAATAATAAGGTCTGTTACAACACACTCTACTACAAGCCCACTAGGCCGATCGTCTGTCTGAGCTAGAAAGAGGGGAATATTGCTACTGCTAGAGAGTACAAGTTTGCCAACCCTTTACAATGAAATAAATATTGCTATTTATACTACCAAGAGGGTAGGTGATGTTGATGATGTGGAGGATATTGAGTGGTTAGCTTCCTAATCACCAAACCCACTGCAATGTGTTTCTCGCCAATATCTTGGTTTCCCGCCAAGGGGATCTAGACGAGCGTCCCCCTGACTTTGGGGCTCTAGAGCAAAGTAAGCATAAGGATAGGATCCGCTCGGCCCACGCAGGAGGGTCCTAGATCATTGCCTAGTCCCATTTGGCTAAGGACATTGACGCCGCGCGTCTTCGTCGATGAGCCGAGCGTCTTCTTGATGTCCTTGCTGGACCGTTCCCAAATTGGGCCTTGATGATTTTCTTTGTAAAGGGTTATTGGGCCGTTCCTATGTCGGACCAATTAACCCAACAAAATACCAATGATAATCTATTGGTGTTCTATTCAATTTTAAACAAAAAAAATTATAAATATAATTAGATATTTCAACACATGATATAGGAAGATAACAACACATTTTCCAAAAATAATTTAAACAACATAGATATTAATAAAATCACACCGATCTCCAACAAAGAATATAAATAATTCAAGAAACATGAATATGATTAAAGACATTTATTTTTGAATTGATGTTGTGTTTCCACTCATTTTTTTGTAATTTAAAGAAATTATTGATTTGAACTTTCAATATAACGATATATACCGGTATACCGTTTATTTTCAAATTATATACCAACACCATACCATATTTTCAAATTATGTACCACAAACACTTCGTTAATTGAGTATATTTCTATATGGCAAGTGTTATTCCTGCACTAAGAGCACCTCCAATGTTATAATGTGCACGGTGCATATGTGACATGAGTGATAGCCACATAAATATTAGCAAATAAATCATCTCTCTCCTTATTTGAATGATTTTATACAATTTTGGTAAGTTTTTCCCTACAATGTCAACATCTAGACGGTCTCCTTGACATTGTAGAGAAAAACTTACCAAAACGGTGTAAAATCATTGAAATAAGAAGAGAAAGAATTTATTTACTAATAATATTTATGTGACTATTTCTGTGCACATTTTACAAGTGGAGATTTTATCATTGGAGATCTCTGATACACTATTTTCACATCACAGTATTTCTGGCGGGTCGGCAATGTTCTCCGGCTTCTACGGTTTAAAAGTAGCCGTCTTTATGCCTGAAACCACACACAAGCCAATCTGTTCCAATTTCATTTTCTTCACTGCAAGAATCTGCTCTTCTCCTTCTTCTCTTATTCAGTGAGCCATTGAGCTACAATAGATAAAGATTGCTTTCCTTTCTACTACAAATTTTCGTGATTTGGCAGCTTTGGTCAGAAGGGTTGAGGTGTGGCGTCATGGTGGGATCATCCTTAGCTGGATTACAAGATCATTTGAAACTGGCTAGAGAATATGCTTTCGAAGGCCTTTACGATACGGCCATAATCTTCTTCGATGGCGCTGTTGCTCAGATCAATAAGTATTATCTCTTTATGTTCCCATCTGTTCCCATCTGTTTCTGTGCATTTATGTATGCATTTGAATATGGTGATTGTCTACGTTAATTATTTGAACTAATTGAAAATTTTCATTTTAAAATTGCTTTTATTCATTTCTTGTGTATTAGGAAATTGTAGAATTGCGCTGTTATATACGTGCAATGCATTTAGAAAAAAGAAGCTTTGTGTGGTCCTGTAGGAAACTGAAGAACTAAGCTGCTTGAGTGGCGGATTTATCACAATATAGAGGAATCCCAAATTTAGACTCGACACAGTTTAATACTTTTAATTAAAATGCATAGCTTCATCCAAAAAAAAAAATTAAAATGCATAGCTGCATTCTTATTAAATTCTAGAAATACGCTGGACCTTCAGTACTAATGGGGATAAAGGGCATTAAAACAGTGTGCAGATTGTTCCAAATGAAAAAATAAGTATAAATTCTGTCTCTTTATGGTTGATATGATATATACTATGTATGCATTATAAGCTAAAATGTTGGGAGTTGCGTAGGAAGGTTTTATTTCTCATTAGGCAGTCTGAGCAAAAAACAAATATTCTTTGATGTTTTGATTTGCTTGATTGGTGATTTGGAGGACTCAAGACGAAAGTAAATCCTCTTGTTAATTTCATAATTTGGCATGTTCGGTTGGATGTTTGAACTTCAGGCATGTTAATACAATTGATGACCCTTTGCTTCGTTCAAAGTGGATAAATGTAAAGAAAGCAATTTCTGAAGAAACAGAGGTGGTGAAACAGCTGGATGTGGAGAAGAGGTCTTTCAAAGAGGTTCCTGTTGGTAGACGCCCTTTTTCCCCTCCAATCTCGACTAAATCCTCAACATCATCGTCGTTTGTCTTCCAGCCACTGGATGATTTCCCTACTCCATCCTGTGCTCCAATGGATGATCCCGATGTCTGGAGACCCCCACCGAATCGAGACACTACAACTAGAAGAACTTCAAGAGCAGGTCAATCTGGTGATGAATCATAAACTTTAACTTTTATCAATATGACTTTTAACTCACACTTGTATAACTTCTAAAGACTATTACAACGCTTCAATAGAAAAATAATGGATTTTAGTAGGCCTGGGACTGGCTCGGTTCCTAGGCAAAATAGATGGAACTGTTTGAAAAATATCAAATCTTAATAACGGTTTGGTTCTTATAAATTTGTTATAAAACCGATATGGAACCAAACCATTCTTAACGGTTCGATTCTTGTCATTTAACGGTTCCTAGTTTTCAAAAAAGTTCTTACAAATCACCGTTAAATTTGTGCCAAAAAACCTTCAACGTTTGAAATTACAAGAAATACAAATATGTTTACCATCATTTCAAACTTCAAAAGTTGAGTTTAAAACATAAATACATACCAAACTGATTTTTTTGTAAATAAAACAAAACACCATATTCACTACAATTAATAATTATGATCTTGAATCAACAATGTAATTAGCCAGCAAAAAAGTTCATTCATCTCAAAGGTCACGAGCGGAGTACTCATTTCTGACCATCTAAGCCTCTAATAAGAGGCCTAAGAGCCTTAGAGGAACCGGTTTAAATAAATAATAATGTTGAATACTTAAATAATTAAACTAAAATAGTTAGTGTAATATAAAAATAAATAAGTAAATATACATTAAAATATATATATATATATATATATATATATATATATACTAATAAGAATTATGTAAAATTTTAATTATTATATATAATGGTTCCTTAATGGTTCCAGGTACCTATTTTTTTTTTTTCAGGAACCGAGAACCAAACCGTCAATAAGAAATAGGAACCGAACCATTAACAAGTACGTAGTAACTAATAAATGTTGAAACCGCACCGAACTAAACCGAGTCATAATGGTTCGGCCTGGTTCGGTTCTCTGGCTCGTGGTTCCAAAGTCCCAGCCCTAGATTCTAGAATCTAGACCCAGTAGGAATGAAAGACCTCAAGAGAATAGGAAATCATATAGTACTACTGAAACTAGGATTATGTTGTGCACAGTCTCTTCCAAGGCCAAGCTGGGTGGTCAGATCCTTTGAATCTATGACTTCACCGAATAGAATTTAAAAAACATATGTTGGAATTAATCCGGTGCCTGACCTTGTCAACACACACTACACTTAATTCTTCCAAAAGTAGTTTATTAACCTATACTAAGGCATCTTATATATAACTATTACAAGAGCCCTAATCATAATAGGATAGAAACATAAAATTAAAGGCTAATAAGAAGCAGCCTTAAACTGAATAAAGAATCATCCGTAATAACAGGAAATGACAACATAATACGAATACTAATAAGTAATAAGAGGGACTAGTAATAATATGATAATAATAGGAAACTAAATAAACTCAGTTCAGCCACTTGTATTAGGCTCCCAAGTGCACTTTTCTACACCTGACACAGCTAGTGGGCCCCTCCTGTGTCATTGGCATGTACGAACCCAAAATGCATAAAAAATAGATTGCTTCATATCTATAATTACTACTTTATACTTTACCAGGTATGAGAAAGTCCCCTCAAGATAGTGCTTGGGCTCGCAGTTCTACCACTCCTACCAGAACCTCTGGCCGAGGGGGGAAGCCTGGTGGTGGTTCTGTTAAGACTAACTCTATAACTCGAGCATCAACTACAGGAAAGAAAGGAAATGCAAAGTCCGCAAAAGTTGAATCACCCGTGAGTTATTTTTCAATTTTGCTCCATTATATAATGCAACAATTTCATTGCCAAGAGTTTGCACTGCATGTCTTCTGATGTCTTAGTTAACCGACTGAAAGGCCCCAAGAAAGAAACAGAAATTTCAATTTTAATTTTACTTGTTCTTGTTGATTTACTTGTGCTATCAGTTTAGGCGTGGTTTACTAGTCATGGACTCTCTAAAAGGAGGTGTTAGTTGAGATGGAATATAATAGGGTCTTCTTTTAAGTATTAACAGCTCATTTGGTTTCCAAGAGATACTATATAGGGAAAGGAATGCTAATTCTTTGGGGAAGAGCAGACGGGGTGTAATTAGGGAAAACAAAGTTCATTGTTTTGTTGATGGGAATGAAATTGTTGGGAACAAATATTCCCTTGGTTCTCTCTAGTAAGTAGGCATACTTTATGAGGGCATATTGATCCGAGCATCTCCATTTTTGTTCCGAATTGATCCGGGAAAAAAGAATACCATAGATTAAAGGAGAATGTTTTTTCTGCACATGGAACGTTTTTTTTTTTTTTTTTGTAAAAGCCATTTCTAGCATACCAAATGGAAGAACTCCTACAGTTCTTCTACCATAACCCAACCAGGAAAGGGAAAACTACTCCTGTCAACAAAACATGTTTCTAGACTTTTATTTACTGCGATTATAACAGAATGGTGACGGAGAAGATGGGAAGGCTAAAAAAGTGGAATATGAGGGCCCTGATCCAGACTTGGCAGCTATGCTCGAGAGAGATGTTTTGGAAACAAGCCCTGGTGTGAGATGGGATGATGTTGCTGGGTTAAGCGAGGCAAAAAGACTTCTAGAAGAGGCTGTGGTTCTCCCACTATGGATGCCTGAATACTTCCAGGTACCAATTCCAGAAAATAATAAAACTTTTAAATGTCGCTTACTTAATCAAATGGTGTGGTTGGTAGAGGGGAGTAGATTGGAAAAGAAATGAAGAAGAGAGCACATGTTCCAATATATGTATGGTTTGTTAGGGGCATCTTGTGGGCCCACACCTAATTACCTAAATATGTTCATAGGGAAAAGAAACGAAGATAAATAGCTTGGATTAAAAGATTTCCTCTCAGTCCCTTTTTATCTTCTCACATATTTCTATTCTTTACTGTTCATACCTACATCCCCTCTATATATTCTATACGTACTGAGCACAGCCTAAGTGTGATTACTGATTAATAGGTGCAAATGCTGAAATCAAATATTTAAAGTAGTACCTTAATACTTGATTGCTTGCTAGAAAACTTCATGAATCTAGAGTTAAAATCAGAATTTGTGTGTGTGTATTTATCTTAAAATATATTTCCTCAACCTTAATGATTCATCAGAGTGCTGAAGAAAACACTACCGTGATGACATGTATCTTGACAGGGAATAAGGAGACCATGGAAAGGCGTTCTTATGTTCGGTCCACCTGGTACGGGGAAGACTCTTTTAGCAAAAGCTGTTGCAACCGAGTGTGGGACCACTTTTTTTAATGTTTCTTCGGCCACATTGGCTTCAAAATGGCGTGGAGAAAGTGAACGTATGGTTCGGTGCTTGTTTGACCTCGCTCGTGCGTATGCTCCCAGCACAATATTCATTGATGAAATTGATTCACTTTGCAATGCTAGAGGGTATGCATCCATCCTCTCCTTTTTGTGACACAATGTGATGCTTTTTGTTGGATTCTGTCAAGGTTGGAGGTACATGACCTAGTCCAAGGATGGAAGTTGCTCGCAGGTTCCACCTTGTGTACAATGAATTAATTGCCAAAAAGATAATCATATTCTTCCAACTAATATCCTTATATAAGCAAAAAAATCCCAAAGATGAAAGGAAACAGAGTTATAATGCTATTACAACTCTAATAGTAATAGACAAATAATAAGAAACAACTGAATTAATTAAACTTGATCAACAAGGAGCTTTCTCATCCAATAAGTGGCGGATTTATAATTTAGGATTTGAGTGTTCATTTTTTATACAATTAAAATTTCAAAGAACAAAAAATATTGTACACAAAATTTACACACAAATACTTGAATGTTTTTCAAACTTTTAAGTGTTCATGTGAACACTTTGGACCTAAAGTGGGTTCGCCACTGCATCCAATGTTGTTTGGGGAAAGTTGTAAGGTGTGGCCTCAAAAAAATTATTGAGGCTATAATGATCAGTTTTGATCACAAAGGAGCGCCCCAATAGGTAGTGCAGTGTAAAAATGTTTTCTGTAAACAAAGAATGCTGAATATATACAAGAGTATCATAGCCAGTCTAGGAAAGTGTAAATTCTATACTTAATGACTAAATGTTAGGCTTCTGCAGATTATTTCTAACAGAACTAAATTCAAGAACGTAAAAGGCAACTTTATTTCCCAGGCAACAATGGCCGAATGGCCTAAGGCAACATTTCTCAAGCGGACAGTTTTACAAGTCAATCACAGCCTGCCTCCAACTCAATAGTCTATTCTATTTATAGTAAGACAATACAACCGTAAGTAGTTATTAGTTCTTAACAGACTTCTAACTAACAATTACTCAGTTACTTCTTTCTTCTAGAATAGACCCTTCCATAATATTTGCTTTCTTTGTTCGGGTTCCCCGAGTCTCTATCAATACTCCCCTTCGGAAAATCCAACTTGTCCTCAAGTTGGAAAGCTGGAAATTGTTCTTTGATCACTTGCTCCTTCTCCCATGAATCTTCAAATTCCGGGAGGTCCTTCCAATGCACCAAGACCTCCTTTTCTCCATTCTGATTAATTCTGATCTCCTTAATCATTTCAGGCTTCACCAGCAGTTCTCCTTCTTCAGTCAGGCACTTAGGCAGATCCTGATAAGTAGATGTAGGCTTTATCACTTTCTTGAGCAAAGAAATATGAAAGACAGGATGAATCTGACTTTCTGCAGGAAGTTTCAACTTGAAAGCAACTGGATTTATCTTTTCTATGATCTCATATGGACCATAAAATCTGGGGCTCAACTTCTGATTGATTCTGCTGGCTATACTCTTCATCTTATAGGGCTGAATTTTCAAGAAAACCATGTCTCCCACCTCTAGCTTCAGTTCCCTTCGATGTTTATCTGCCTGCTGTTTCATCTGATTCTGTGCCTTAGCCAATTGTTCTCTCAGTTCCTTCAGCATTCCATTCCTTTCAGCAGTTAACCTAGAAACCTCAGCCACTGAAGTCATACTAACATCTCCTCTGACTATAATGGGAGGGAGGTTCTTGGCCAAATAAAGCTTGATATGGTGTATGTTTGAGGGAGATATGGTAATTCGTGTTGTACCAAAACTCTGCCCAAGGCAGCCATTTGACCCATAGTTTTGGTTTTCTACCAGTCATACACCTCAAGTATGTCTCCAAACATCTATTCACGACCTCGGTCTGCCCATCACTTTGTGGATGATAAGCAGTACTATATTTTAATGTAGTTCCAGCAGCTTTAAACAACTCAGACCAGAATGTGCTCAGGAAGAGGCTATCTCTGTCACTCACAATTGATTTAGGAAACCCATGAATTTTCACAACCTCTTGTATAAAGATTTCAGCCACTCCTTTAGCATTAAAAGGATGAGCTAAAGGTAAAAAATGTGCAAACTTTGTCATCCTATCCACTACTACCAGTATAGTGTCCTTTCCCATTGACTTAGGCAGTCCCCCAATAAAGTCCATGCTAATATCCGTCCAAATGTGATCAGGAATTGGAAGTGGTTGTAACAATTCAGCAGGTTTCAATGCTTGATATTTGTTTCTCTGGCAAATATCACAGCTCTGCACATAATCTTTGATTTCAGCTCTCATCCCCTCCCAGTAGAATAAGTTGGAGATCCTCTTCATGGTTCGGAAGTAACCAGAATGTCCTCCCAGAGCAGTTTCATGGTATTCCTTTAGGATTCTAGATATTCTACTAGATCCTTTAGGTAATACTAATCTCCTTTTGTAGTAGAGCAACCCTCCTTTGATCTGGTAATTCAACACCAAATCTGGTTTGGTTGATATTTGCTGCAAAATATCCCTACACTTAGAATCCTTCTGTAATTCTTCCTCCAAACCACCCCACTCCTGACAGGAAACTATTGATAAGGATAGTATAGAGGGTTTCCGGGATAAGGCGTCAGCTGCTTTATTTTCAATGCCAGGCTTGTACTTAATGGTAAAGTTATAACCCATCAGTTTGGAAATCCACCTTTGCTGTTCCTCCCCCATAATCTTTTGCTCAATCAGATACTTGAGGCTCCGTTGGTCTGAATGTATCTCAAAAGTCCTTCCCAATAGATAAGGTCTCCACTTTTGAACTGCTAGAACCACAGCCATCAACTCCTTTTCATAAACTGACTTACTTTGATGTTTGGTAGAGAGTTCCTTACTCATAAATGCAATTGGTCTTCCTTCTTGCATGAGTACAGCTCCTAACCCTTTTCCGGATGCATCAGTTTCAATGATAAAAAGTTTATCAAAATCTGGATTAGCTAGAACTGGTAAAGTAGTCATAGCTTCCTTCAATTTGGTAAAAGCCACTCCAGCACTCTTATCCCAGTGGAAACTACCCTTCTTTAAAAGATTGGTTAAAGGAGCTGCAATTCTACTGTAATCCTTCACGAATCTTCTATAGTACCCAGTCAGTCCCAAAAATCCTCTCAATCCTTTGATATCTATAGGTTCAGTCCAGTTTAACATAGCCTCCACTTTACTAGGGTCAGCAGAAACTCCTTCTTCTGTTATTATGTGACCCAAGTAAGATAACTGGTTCTGACCAAAAGAACATTTCTTCCTATTGGCCACCAGTTTATTGTCTTGCAAAGCTAGCAACACCTTTCTTAAATGCTCTACATGTTCCCCTTTTGATTTACTGTAAATCAAAATGTCATCGAAGAAGACTAGAGCAAACCTTCTTAAGAAAGGTCTTAGGACTTCATTCATCAAAGCTTGGAATGTGGAGGGGGCGTTAGTGAGCCCAAAAGGCATCACTATATACTCGTAGTGCCCCTCATGTGTCCTAAAAGCTGTTTTATGGGCATCACTTTTCTTCATTCTAATTTGATGGTATCCTGACTTTAAATCCAGTTTTGAGAACACTTTAGATCCCCCTAACTCATCTAATAATTCTTCTATAACTGGTATAGGAAATTTATCAGGAATTGTCACCTTATTTAATGCCCGGTAGTCCCCACAGAATCTCCAACTCCCATCTTTCTTTTTGGCCAATAGTATGGGACTGCTGTATGGACTATTACTATGCTTGATAATCCCAGAAGAAAGCATTTCCTTTATAATCTTTTCTATTTCATTTTTTTGATCATATGTATACCTGTAGGGTCTGATGTTAGGTATACTTGCTCCTTCTATGATGTTTATTGCATGATCACAGGATCTTTCAGGAGGTAGGTCCAAAACTGATTTGAAGACTTCAGGAAATTCATCAACCACCTTGTCCCAAGTTTCCTCTTGTTCAACTTTAGATTGGTGTTCCAGCTCTTTTCCTTCACAATACAAGAAGTATCCATCCCCTGCATTATGTAAAATGTTAACCATAGACTTCCATGAGGCTTCCATCTGGTTCAGGGCCATATCTCCTGAGATAATATGTTGCTGCCCTTGCTTTCCCCACTTCAAAGTTTGATTCTGAAAATTAACTTCCATGTCGCCTAGACCAGTTAGCCATTCCATTCCAAGCACTGCATCCACTCCACCCAAATCCAAAATGTAAAATTTCTGACATATTTCAATACCTTGGACCTCAACTGTTAATCCATCACACCTACCATTGTTAGGAAGGAATTCCCCATTGCCTATCTGCACCCTATACCCTTTAATACAATTAAAAGGTATCTTCCACTCATCCACAATTTTCTGTGAAATAAAATTGTGAGTAGCCCCGCAGTCAATCAGAATATTCACCTTCTTTTCACCCATTAGCCATTTAAGCATTCCCCAGACTTTGAAGGTTTTCATAGATGGAATACCCTCTTTACTTAGCACAGATAACTGCATAGATTTTAGTTCAGGGTGATGTCCCACAACCTCTTCTTCGGAATTGCTGCCATCCATCTCAGTTTCTGTCTCTTCATCAGAATGTTCCATCAACACCATTTTGAAATGTTTCATCTTGCATACATGCCCCCTATTCCAGTTTTCTCCACACTTGAAGCATAAGCCTTTCTTACTCCTGTCCATGAGCTCATTTTGGGATAATCTAGGGCCCATTTTTCTGGAACTAGAAGCTTCACCACCATCCACATTCTTGCTATCACCAATAAACTTTCCAGAAGATTGTGTAGAGATATGGTTACTTTTGGTTCCATCTCCCCATTTCTGATAACTTGTTCCTCTAGTTGCAATGTTCTTCCATGGCTTCCTTCCTTCTTCTTTATATCTCCTGAGCAGAATTTCTTCATTTTTGTCCTCAATCAACTGTGCATTATCCATAATTTTACCAAGATCTTTGGTTTTATACAACTTAAGTTCAGCCCGTATATCCTTCTTTAGCCCATTCAAGAAGATGGCTCTCATAACCTTCTTGTCCAAATAATCTTGAGAAGCAATGGCCGATTCAAACTGTTCTCTGTATTCTTGAACTGAATTTTTTTGTCTCAGACTCAACAAGGGACCCAGGGGGTTTTGGATCAACTCTGGTTGAAAACGGCGAATCAGCGCTTTTTTTAATTTCTCCCAAGTCCTTTCTCTTGCTTGTTTCTCCCACCATTGTATCCATCCGAGAGCTTTGCCTTCCATGGAGACTACTGCAACTTCAATTTTCTCTTCTTCTTCTACATTGTTGAGTCGAAAATAACGATCGATCCTGACAAGCCAGCCAAAAGCGTCTTCACCGTTGAATAAGGGTAGGTCAACTTTTCTGTGCATCGGCTGGTGATGGCGACTTCGGTGTTGTTGAGCGAATTCCCGATGACCTTCCGATCCTTCGGAACTGTCAGACGATCGCCGTGAGTGATGATGCGATGAACGATGCGATGAGCGATGCGATGCGTGTGACCTCTCCTCGCGCGATCGACTCTCTCCTCGCGATGTGTGCGACCTGCTGCGCGATCGACTCTCTCCTCGCGCTTCCAGTCTGGCGATAGCCGCCTGAAGCGCGGTAAACATCGTTTCCATCTTCTCATCCAATTCATTCATCCTCGATTCCATCTTTGTTCTCGTCAATACCATCCACAAAGATCGGCTTCTCTGATACCAATGTTAGGCTTCTGCAGATTATTTCTAACAGAACTAAATTCAAGAACGTAAAAGGCAACTTTATTTCCCAGGCAACAATGGCCGAATGGCCTAAGGCAACATTTCTCAAGCGGACAGTTTTACAAGTCAATCACAGCCTGCCTCCAACTCAATAGTCTATTCTATTTATAGTAAGACAATACAACCGTAAGTAGTTATTAGTTCTTAACAGACTTCTAACTAACAATTACTCAGTTACTTCTTTCTTCTAGAATAGACCCTTCCATAATATTTGCTTTCTTTGTTCGGGTTCCCCGAGTCTCTATCACTAAAATCTACATTAATTGAGCATATACACTGCTGTAACATATCTCTAACAGAATCTCCTTTGATTGAGCATTTATACTGCTGTAACATATCTCTAACGCTCCTCAAATTGGAGCAAAGATATTAATCATGCCCAACTTGCTAAAAATAAAATCTATCTGTGATTTACGGAGTGGCTTCGTAAATATGTCTGTGAGTTGGTGTTCAGTCCTAACGTTCACTGGTATGATCGATGGAGGGTTTGATTGTGTGCGTAGAAGATCAAGTGATACACCTTTTAGACGAGTTGAGAAGCGGGGTGAAGAGGCGACAATGAGAGGGAGAGGAAGACCCAAACGAATGTATATTAGAGGAGTCAGGAGTGATATGCTACTTCTTTAGTTAGTTGAAAGTATGACTTTGGAGAAGAGCGAAGTGGAGGCAAAATATTCGTGTGGAAGATTGATGTCATTTCATCTTTTTATCTTTCTTAACTTTTTTTTAACTTTTTAACTCCTTTATCTTATCCTTTTTAACTTTTTTTTTTATCTTTTGTTTTATATTTTTATCCTTTTTAGCTTTGCTATGGGTCATCCGGAAACAGTCCCTCTGTGCTTTAGTACAAGGGTAAGACCGTGTACATCCGATCCCCCTTATCCCACCGAAGATGTGGGAGCTTTTGAAGCACTGGGGTAATGATGATGATGATGATCCTTTTTAGCTTTGATCTCATATGTTGATTCATGTTAGCCGACCCCGAACTCTTTTGAGACTAAGACTTGGATGTTATTGTTGTTCTTCTCTGTCAAATTATGGTTGCCCATCTCGCTGACTGTAATACCGTTGTTAAGGTAGGAGGTGCGAGACCTTGTCCAAGGATGGATAGAACTAAGTGAAGTTTGTTCAACTACCTTGTGAACAATGTATTAGTTGTGAAAAAGATAATCTTATTAATCTAACTAATAGGCCTTCATAGGCAAAATAAAACCCCAAAGATAAAAGGACAACTCTAATAATAAAAGACTAATTAAAATATGAATAGGAAAAACTAGTAATCGGAAACAACTTAATTAATTAAACTTGATCAAGACCCATCTAGCCTTGTTGGCTAGCCCCATCTCTGATTTGTCTGCGGTGGTAGACCAGAACTAGACCCGGCCCTCTAATTGGTCCATAACAGATTCCTCATGATAATGTTATTGTGTATCTGTCTGCTTGTTGGCTGGCTGCAGACTCTGGATATCATTTATTTATATTTCGCTGTTCTTCTATATCTGTTAGTATTATTTATTATTACTCCTTCCATTACCCAAAAAGTCATGTCTCCAATGTTTTTTTAATCGAAGAAATTGTTCGCAAAAAGAGAGTTCCTATTTAATCAACTGGAGCAAATTTTTAGCTTTCTGAAAGAAGTTACAAACACGTTCAAAATGATAAGTTTAATTGAACAAAGAATATGTTTAACAATTTACTTTTTTTCATTTTTGCTTAGACTTTTTGTCAAACAGAACAGATCCTTATTTGATCAAAAGAATTAGTATGTAATGTAATTAAAATGTTACATTTGATAATTTTAAATAGACCAATGAATAATTATTATACATGTGAAAGATTTCATGACTTAAAGGGTGAATCTTGCAAAAATAGCCAAAAGACTATTTTTTTGGCTAAAGGGAGTATGAGATTGCATCGATCACCTAAAACCAACCCCTCGTTGTATTGTCATATGGAAAGGACTTCGGCCATTCGTGTAGTGTTATGAAAAAAGTCAAAAAACGTATTTGAGTGGCATATTATATTATTACTCCCTCCGTCCCGTTTTTAAGTTCTTACTTTGACCCTCACACATTTTTAGGAATTAAATTTGACTTTATTGTTAAGACACTGTTTAGACACTGTTTGGCACTGTTTTGCACTGTTTGACACTGTTTTGATGTAGGAAAACTTTCCTTTTAGGGAAATGAGAAGATAATTTTGGGACGTCCCAAAAAGGAAAGCAGGAAGTTAATAGCGGGACGGAGGGAGTATATTATAATCTAGAATTATGATAACTGTTCATAGTATTACTTTATCAATAGGGCTTCAGGAGAGCATGAATCGTCCAGAAGGGTGAAGTCTGAGCTTCTTGTTCAAGTAGATGGTGTAACTAACTCTTCCACCAATGAGGACGGAACACGAAAAATAGTGATGGTTTTGGCAGCTACAAATTTCCCATGGGATATAGATGAGGCTTTGAGGTCACAAGCTGCACTTTATTATTACAAATCCTGCACTTTATTATCACAATTTTCGTTTTATATAGTTACTACTTTTTAGATATCATATGTGGTGCTTTCTCCCCCTTTGGCATAAAAAAATCCAGGAGGCGCTTAGAAAAGCGTATATACATTCCCCTTCCAAGTTTTGAAAGCCGGAAGGAGCTTATCCGGATCAATTTGAAAACGGTTGAGGTCAGGTTCATATATATATATATATAGCTGGGTGGGAGGGAGGGCTCTAGCTCATATGCGTGAATGGACAAGTTTGTAAAACTTTCTCACATCTTTTTTCTAACAAAACTGGGACCAAAAATGGATCAGGTGGCGAGAGACGTGGATATAGATGAAGTGGCACGTAGAACAGAGGGTTACAGTGGGGATGACTTGACAAACGTGTGCCGGGATGCATCTCTGAATGGGATGAGGCGTAAGATAGCGGGGAAGACAAGGGATGAGATCAAGAGCATGCCCAAGGATGAGATCTCCAAGGACCCAATCGCAATGTGCGACTTCTTGGAAGCTATTCAGAAAGTCCAACCCAGTGTTTCTGCAGCTGACATTGAGAAGCATGAGAAATGGTTTTCTGAGTTTGGATCAGCATAATCATCAACAGGATGAATTTTTTTGTCCCCTTATTCATGAATGGTTATGTTCAGTCATATTTTCCGATTTCTTGTTCATTGACGTTTTTTTCTTTAATTTATCCTTTTTAGTTCCCCGGAGCTTTGAAGGAAAAAACAAAAAAAAACTTGTGGTGTTTTGTATGTTGTACTCGTATGTATGGTATTGCAATTGAAGTGCCTTTCTATGAATTAAATATTCTTTACCGGACTATTTTGGATGGAAAAAACTGCATGTACACCAATTGTACGTATTTTTGCACACGTCAATTCATAAAAAACCACAATTTTTTTATAGAAAATTGTTTGTATGGGGTGTAAAAACTGCTTGCACATGCTTGGGCGTGTACAAGAGGCAATGAGGCATGTCCCTTTTCGGATGGCCTTCCAAATTTTCCTTCATTCTAATTCTTAAGTTATCTGGCAAATGACTCGACTCTTGTAACCGGATTTTTTTCTTGACTTCTCAAAGATTTTGACTCAACTCTCAATACAACTGATGAGGATGGGCTAGAGGATATGGGGCTATGGGCCAAAGGCGTAGCAAACGGGCTCGGCATATCCCCTCTAAACTGGATGACTATTTCATAGACCAATAAAGGGAATTTATCACAAATAGACCAAAAAGCATAAATAATATCACTTTTATCACTCTTTAGAATTCTTTTCAAAAATAGGTTCGCTGGACTTCCGTTTTTACAAATGGGCGGTAGCACTGTAGCGTACATTTACTGCCGTATACGAGAAATCTGGAACCTCTGGTCGTTCGAAGCTTAATGCAATTATGCAAATCGAGTCACGTATGTTGACAAAGTAATTAATACGGAGTGGAAACATGCAATGTTAACCAATTATACATTATTTTTTGTTTTTAATTCAAACTAGGAAACCAAAATGCTAAAATTATAAAAAACTAAAATGATGAAAACAATGAGAAGTAATAAAAGTCTAAAAAGTAAAATTAAAAATTTAAATTAAAATATAATTAATGTAAAAAATTTCAAAATTGAAAAGATGTAATCAAATTTAAAAAAAAAATCTAGACTTTAAAACTGAATAATAATAAATTAAAAACTTATATAAATTTACAAAATAAAAAATTGGAAAGGTTGTAAACAGAATAGAGAGTATGTTACAAAACTGTATCGTAAATTTTCTAAAATAGTCTTAAAATGTAAATAAATGCGTAAAATTTTAAATAATAGAAATAGAAATTTATTACAGAGAAACAAAATAGAAAAGTATATAAATTATTAGAAAAATCTACAAAAAAAAGTATAAAATAATTCATAAAAACATTCTCGAAATTGGCAATGTGAAACATTACGATTCATAAATGTAGAATATATGTAAATGCTAAAAAATTTGTGAAAAAAATTAAAGGTCCAAATTTTGGAATTTAAAAACATTCTGAAAATTGAAAATAAATATGTAAAATTTGAAAATATTCATAAAATTCGAATTCAAATTTTATAAAAGTAAAAAAAAAAAAAACAGAAAATGAGATTTTTAAATTATAATATATCATAAAAGCGGAGTATCCCAGCTTAATTGTAGTGTAGTTGGTAGAAAAATCCCGACTACTCGGGCTTCTTACTTCCCGGAGGGTTTGGAATCCCTTTTAGGGGGTGTGCACACTTAAGGTAGGAGTTCGGCTTCCACTGGCTTTGATTGGTTTTGAGGTGAACTGAACTTTGACTGAGTTGGTTTTGAGGATTTCAGGTGAACTTGATATATTGATTTGAGGTAAATATTATATGATTGGATTGGACTTGAGGTGGATTTTAATTCTTGGATTGATTGAGATTGAATTGGATTATATTTGGAATGAATTTAAGTTGGATTGGATTATTAAGTTATTTAAGTTATTTTTAGAGTATACATATTTTTGAATTGATCTGGTTTAATTATGTTGAATATCCTTTATAAGTATTTATAAGTATTTTGAGATAAATATTTGGTATTTAATGTATATTTGGTATTTTTGTAATTATTGTGGTTTGGAAATATTTTTTTATATTTGAAGTACTATTATTTTACTCGTGAATTATGTTATGAGAAGATTTTATAAATTGTTTTGAAAATATTTTTCCTCTTAAATGTTCTTATATAAAAATAAAATAAAATTTTATTATTTTATGGGGTTAGGTGGAACTTACTTAGCATTGTTGCTTGTTTTCTTTTGTTTTTCTTTCCGTACTTGATTTTGTACAGGTGACGCTTTGATGATGAGGTTGATTTCGAGAGAGCTTCCGCTAGAAAACATAGTTAGTAAATCATTGTAATTCCATTTTCAATATCTTTAGTTAGTGAATAATTATTTTTGGAGTTTAAGTTGTTTTAGCCTGTGCACTCGGTTAAGGGAGAATCGAGTGTGGCGGTAACACCCCTATTTCCCTTTTGGTTTTCCGCTGCCTAACTCTGATGTTTTCGAATAAAGTTAATATTTCTTGTGAATAAAGTATTATTTTTGGGTGGGAAATTTGGGGGTGTTACAAGTTGGTATTTCATAATGTGATCTAATATTTTAATTTATTACATTTATCTATCATATTATTTAGCTTTGGTCCTAAAATTTCTTCTACCCTTTGACTCTTAGTTTTCATTTTCGTGGATGATCCTTTGAATCTTATTATCATCCTCTTCATCATATATTTCGTTTGGTTTGATAGGCCTACAATGAGAACACAACCCACCATCACAAAATTTCAGAATCAATTATTACCAAGATCCAAATAACCCAACAATACAATACATAAACAATACAATGCATATTACTTTATAAAAATGGGAGGACATTTGAAAAGAATTTAAGGAACAAAGTGAACTCTGGAATGATGTTTAGATGTGCAGCAAATGCAAAATGGACAAAGGAAATGACAAAATGAGTGCTTAGCATGCTTACTGGGAATGATAACCTAAAAATATAAAGGAAAGCTCATCATTATTCATCCATAACTCCTGTCTAAAAGTTTGTTTGGAAGGTAATTTTTTGGTTTACTAAGTTTCTTGTCAAGGAAGTACACAAAGATTAACAATATCTTACCGAATGAAAGCTATATAATTAGCATAAACATTGGTGCACATTTCCTTAGCATAGACCTTTTTTCAGATCCACTAGAGAGGAGCATATATAGTTGCCTAATTAAGTAAACTGAGAGTAGCTACATGGATCTTCATCTGTAAAGTATGCCAAATACATTTTCCTTTTGACATTTATGTATAGACTAGTTACGTAACGCGCGTTGCGCGTTCATGGTAATGCCCAAGATCATCGTAAGGATACTAATTCCTCGAATTATATCTTGAGTCAATATATGAGTAAGATAAATACAATATTTGAATACATACTTTGTTACTTAGTGATAATGAATCCTAAAATATTTATAAGCTAGATTGTATATGTGGGAAAATAAAGCAGACAAAATGACTATAATAACAATAGGAGTAAGGTTCACATCAAATAGTAGCATGCATTTGTGATGTTATATGAAAACACACCTAACAAACACAAAAATGTTTTCCATGTACCATTGACTCCTTCAGCTTTCTTTGAATAGTTTATGTGTTTCTTAAGCAATAGAGATCATCGTTATACACTTATACTCTTATTAAGCAAGCCGGACTCATCAAAATTTTCTATTATGCATACATCACGAGGGATGTAGTTGGGTTATCAATGTTGATGAGGTCTTTATTTTTCATTGTAATGTGGAAACATTTTGTAAAAAATCAATAAACAAATACAAATTATATTGTTCTGAGGGGTCTTACAAAAACATATAGTTTTGATAACACGTGTTGCTCGATTCTGATATTGCTCAATATTTTTTGTGTAACATAAATGTTTGGTTATATTTTTCCACCACAATTCAAGAATGATTACTATCAAGTGTATGCATCATATTTCAATATTTTACATCCTCGTATTTCCATCGAATAATCCATGTTGCTAAAATGACACCTGCGGAGTAGAAGTTTTGAATACCATAGTAAACCAAAATTCTAATTATTTCCCATTGACAGTTCAAAAAGTAACAATCTCCCATTGCAATCAAAAGTAATTTTCCTTAACTTATAGATCGTTCGTAATTGGTTCCTTTTGACTAAAATCAAAATCCGTATAGCAATAGTTTAGATTTGTTTGTATTGGGATTGACCCCATGAATTAAGGATTTTTAATTTAGGTTCAATAAAAATCTACTTTCCAATTAGAACTTTCCGACATTAATTTAGGTTCGATAAAAATCTACGTTAATTGTAAAGAATCTTCTTGAAGCTTTATTGCATCTAGAAAGAATACACACACATAGAAAGGCCGAATTTTTTAATTTCATAAATTATACAAAGTTTAGTTTATTAACCTTGAGTGTATGAAATTAATTTCCTTTATCAAAGGATATTGCTCCTTGATTGTAAGTGTATAAAATTTATTAACCGTCTTAGCGCAGTACATATACCGTGGTATCTCCCCAGGGTGAGCACTGTGCTCCCACACCCAAAACTACGTAGTTTCACACAACTTTTTTTAAAAAAAAAAACGCGTGAACAGTAACACGTGAACAATAACTTTTTTTGTACCAGTAACATGAATGATGTAACTCGTGTGTAAATTAATGTAATTCACATTATTGATCGATGTAACTCAAGTATAGTCGAAATGTAACTTGTCAAATACATAGTATAGAAATAAAAACATTGATTTCAATGTTAACAATGAAAAAAATAGTCTAATTGCTCAATTACTTTACATAAATAGTGGAAATGTTTTGTTTTTAATATCAAGGACATAAAATTATTTGAAAAAAATCTTTTTTTGTTGCTTCAGTAGCAGAGGTTATTTGTGATGTAACTCGTGTTAGACTAAATGTAACTCGTATTGATAGAAAATGTAACTTACGTGTATGCAAAATATAACTTGCTGAGGTAAGTCCAAATCCAACTCGCGTATAAGAAAAATGTAACTTCACTCACACTAATGTAACCGACACATAAAATGATGTAACTCACATATAAAAAGAAGTAAATCGAGAAATGTATAATAAATACAATCGTATATGAATTTAATGGATTAAACTCAAGCATCTAATGTATTCCAGTGGCTGAACCTCATCACATATTTCAAGGAGAACAACCAACGATTTCAATATGGGATGGAAAAATCATGATCGTGGTGGGAACTTAGTGATGGATCTGTTTTGCGTCTGACTGTCTGAGCTTCGTCTCCAAGCTGGGAGCAGAAATTGACAAGGTCGAAGCTTGGAGAAAATCATTGAGATGTAGCATTTTCAGATACATAGCAAGGCAGAGCAATTTTCTCCTCGAGATTCACTGCTGCGGGACTTCTGTGCAAGACGGTTTGTTATGTGTGTGGTGTTTGCGCTTTGTTTTAATAGAAAACGGTACCATTTCGGGATCGGTACATCATGCTCATGGTGCACCGATCCCACGGTATAATTTGCGATCTTACCGTCTTGGTCATGATTATCATCCTCTTCTCCACCCTAAAAAAGTCACTCCAATATCATTCTCCCCCACCCTTTTTCTCTCAACTTCCTATGGAATTCCTTCCTGTAAGGAAAACAATCTAGAGAGAAGTTTCAAACCCAAAAGTAAATATTCATGGACAACATAATAGGTTGCTAGGGTCTAGTGATGCTATAAGAAAATTAGTCAAGCAACCATGTCTTTCCTTCCACAAACAATACATTATTAACAATCAGCAGACTTTTTGTTGATCGCATGGAATGTCCTTGCTAAGAAAAAGTAGCCTTCTAAAAATCATAATTAGCTTCTCATTTCAGTGATACTCTAGATAAATATGGACTGTGTTATTAGGTGATATAAATGGGTCTCTAAACTATTCTCATATTTCTTAAATATAGAAGGAAGCAGTTGGTGCAAATATCACATTAAAACCAATCCGATAACGGGCTATCTCCGCGCACCATATTTCTTACTTTGCGCACCCACTATGTTACAAGATCGGACAATTTAGTCCTAGACTTTACTTTTGTTGCGCATATTTCTTACTTTGCGCACCAACTTTCAGTTCTCACACGCGTAGCATCACATGATTCACAATTTCAGATCATCCCCCTTTTTTCTTTTTTCTTTTTAATTGATTATTACTCTCCAATTGTTTTTATAGAAAAATAATGTTTTCTCAATTTGAAGATATCAAAACATTCATACGTAAATAGAACTTTTTTATATTAGTTAACTTAATTGTTTTTAGGATTTAATAATTGACATTATTTGAAAAGCCATTAATAATCATATTGATTACGTTGCAACGGAACTACCCATAGACCAGACGAGGAACCACTTTCACAAGAATATTCGGGAATGAAACAAAGGACTACAAGGATAATTGGACCAACCTTTCCGCCCATACAGACCCCTCGACCTCTGAAGCGTCGTCCCATATTAGGGTCTCAACCAGCCATGGAAGCCATTATACAGAGCAAACCAACTGCAACAAGAACGAGGACCCTTTCCAAGATTAGCTAGATCAAATCAGACAAAAACTAAACAAATTTGAATGCTTAGACTTTTTAGATTTATTTAGGAAATTATTTTTTATCCTTTGAAACTTGAGAAAATATATTTTGTGGTTATTTTTATACTTTTCTAGTGTATTATGAATAATAAATGAAATTATAAACATAAGGCATATCTGTTCCATATAAAAAAAATAAGTATTGCATTTTTTTATTTTTTTTTTTATTTTTTATCACTTCTTAAGAATCAATAATTTTATCTTAATCTTCCAAAAGCATAAATGGTACAAATAATAGTTAATCATAACAAAAATATTTAAAATGTACTTAACAAAAATAATTTTTAGAATGATTGAAAATTAAAAAATTCAGAAAACTAAAGTTGGTAAATATAGGCACACATATGAAAGGCATTTAGGGTATAATAATGAATTTCAAAAACATGATAAATATGATTTTATGTGTAAACTAACGTGTAAATATGCACCAACGAAACTTGATAGTGGGGTTGATTTTGAAATTGATTAAAATTGACGTGTCGGGTCAAAAGTTTCGGAACAATATTTAATCTTTACTTAATTAAAGGATGAAGGTTAAATTAGTCAAGCTGGGGTTACATTAAGTAATAAATGGGGTGCGCCTAGCACTCCCCATCCGATAATAACCGAGAGAGGAGAGCTAGGGCGCCTCCGCTTGAAGAAACTCAAGTTCAGCCCATCAGAGGGGTAAGTATCTGGGAAAAGCAGCCTCTGGAGAGAAATCACGGATTTTCCTCAACTTCTCAATGACTTCCTTGATCGTTAGCCTCTTCCTCGCGTTTTCTTGGATGCAATCCTCAGTCACTTCACATACCACAACTACCTCTTCATCGTTGAAGGAATGATTCAATGTTTGGTCCACCATTTGGATAATGCTTTTCTTGTCCTCCAGGTGTTCTGCAGCCTATATATATATAACTGATGTTGTTAGACCATTTGGAGTGGTAAGAGTCTAAAAAGCTAAAATATGGACTCCGTCGATATAAAAACAGTGTTTAGACTCCGTCAATAATGATTTTCTTTGCATTCCAGTACCGTCAATACAATATATTTGACATATTTTTTACATATCAAATTAGTAGATCATTAATTAAAGTATTATAAGTAATATTTTGTTTTAATTTTTTTCTCAAAATAATTATAAAATAAAAAAAATACACATTTCGATGTAAAAAAATATATATTTCATTAATTTTTTTTAACGTCTTTTCGGTTAACAAAAAATGAACTTAGTTTAAGTAATGTTCGATTATTATCAAATTCTCTTCTAAACGTTCAATTAAATCATGAGTGAAAATTTTATGAGTATTGTCATTAAAATCGAATTCATTTAAGCATCCTCGTTAGTTTTTTTTAACGTTTTCCCGCTTCTATAAAATGAGAAGATGTAATATTCAGTTATTTATGCACGCTTCATCAATTAAAAATTTGTGTTTCGTTTTTTTTTGTGCTCAAGAAAACTGCAACGGTTAAAACTTGAAATTCTGTTTTCAATTTATATATGTAATATTGGTGTCATATGAAAGCTCCTAAAAATTCATGAATTTTGATATAGTTTTTGAAAAATTTGGAGACCAAATAAAAAAGTTATAACACATTAAAAGAATATGTGATTTTTTGTTTTTGTTTGAGGACCCACACTTTTGCTACAATCTTCACCATGCTTTGCTCCATTTGTGTTTTAGCCGGAGTCAATCAAATCGGCTATATGTAGACTCTCTACCTCCACCTTTCCATTTATAAACCCCCCATATAACCTCTTTCCAACCACCAATGTATAGATTTAGGAGTCTAAAATTCCATTTTAGACATTTTAGACTCTTAAAACTCCACCACTACAGATGGTCTTATAGATGGACAAAAAGAAAATAACATAAACTATTGCAAAAGAAAAAATAACAAAAGGTAAGTAATTTATTGGTCTCAAACATAAAAACGCTACATTTACAGAGAACAAAAATCCGTTTAACAAGTCTTGCAAATGAGCTTTTGTCTAGCCTTGGATGCCTAGGTTTTCTATGTTGTTTGGCAGAATCCAATTCCACTTCAATCTCGTCTAACAATTACTTGGCCCAGTCTGCCTCCTAGCAGGCCCCCAGTGCCTTTTTCATTGCCATACAGATACAGAGGTATTAGCCGATCTTGTAATGAGGTGGCCACCTCAGATCCAACCGGTTGGATGTCATCTATTTCCACTATAAATGTATTTGCTCTACCGGGAATGGGTAAAAAGGATCTATTTTCGAGCAAATTAGAGGAAGACCATCCCTAGCAAATATGCAGAGCTTACCGGATGAGAAGAGGACCTTGCTCTTCAGAGAAAAGCATTTTTCCAGAACCAGTTTCCGATAACACAAGTTCAAAATAGTATATGTTTGTTTCAGGGTCAGCACGTGGGGGGGGGGGGGGGGGGGGGAGGTTCAGAATGTCCTTCGCTATCTCCACATTTTGAGTTTGATGTTAGTTCTCCCTAGAAGCTCATCTCCAAAATTTGTTATAAATACAACCGTTTCTTCGATTTACATGAACGGGGAAACAGTTAGTGATATCTTTAGCAGCACGATTGCCAGTCAAAAAAAGGTTCTAGAAGTGAGGTTTAAATGAGGCACATGTGGGTATAAATCATGAATGTACTATTTTAATAAGTCAAACACGAGGGGGCACAGCGATGCGAACTGCATCTAGGGCGGCACAGCGACTCCCGTGCGATTTTCGTCAAATCGGTGACCGCGTCTGGGAACGACATATTAGACAGTGGAAGGCGACAGGGACAAGGCGCCGGAGCAGCTTTGACTCGCGATGGGGTTTTCATCGTCGCGGCGGTGATATTCCATGGGAGAAGCGGCCTCTCAACCAATCTGGGGAGGCTTCGTCCCGTTTCTCCTCCGACAACCAGGCACGGCGTCGCCTTCTGCGGAACAGAGAACGTGCGACTACATATGGGGCAGAATCTGTTGGAAGAAATTTCTGGGAATCTCAGGTTTCATCGATTGGAGCTCGTAGACGAATCTGGCCTTCAAAGCGGCAGTTTTGGAATCGACATGGTAGCTCAGTTGGGTTTCAAGGTGGGAAGAAAAGGAGGTTAACAGAAGTTGGAGGGGGTGATTTCCTATCCGTTCCCATTATCACAGATGAGTTCGTCATTGAAAGTAAATTCTTTCAATTTAAAGTTATTGACAGCGCTTCTATTCGCATTTCTGAAACAAAAGAAGGAATTTCATCTATATTGGACTTAGATTTTGCTAGGCTTACTTGGCTAAAGGATTCCATTATCAAGATTTTTTCTGATAATAAATCTTGTAGTAAGCTAGAGCTGAACAAATCACTTATAGTTCGGTATGATGAAAATTACTTTGGGGGTTTTATCCAAATCATTGAAAAAGGCAGTGACTCTCTATTTATACCCGAGGGATGGAACGGGCAGGGGATTCATCTATTTCTTACAGGAATTGGAAAAACAATTGCATCGTTGAAGGAAATCGCTGCAAAATCACAGGCCGTTGGACATACTTCAGGTAAGGTTTTCTCTGATGGGGTGGCTTCCAATGACTTGGAATTTCTACCTTTTGATGGGAATAATCTTTATTGTGACACGGGAACCTCCATCTCGGGTGCATTACTACAAGTCGATATTGATTCATTCAATCATTCTTCAGATTTGGTTTCGGTTGATGATGTTCGTAGTGGGGAACATATCCCCGATTCTGATGCACTTTTAGAACTTAAAGAATTTTTTCAAGTCACTTTGACAAATGGGGTAGATTCACTTTCTCATTTTTTACTTTATGAGATTGAGAAACTTCTTGCTGCTGCTTTGGGTAATCGAGACAATTTGCTTATAAAACCCATTGATGATGGAAAACCTTCTCGAATGCAAAATGATTCAGGGAAAGTTGATGAAAACAAGATTGGAGTTTTAGAGTCAAGAAATATTGGCATTGGAGGTGATCACACAGATTTTTGTTGGGATTATGCAAATTTGGACTGCATCGGTAATCTTAACGCAAATTTTGAGGAAGATTTTGGAGGATCATACTCTACACATTCAGGTGATGAATTCCTTGGCCATGTCTCGGAAAATGAGAAAAGGGTTCCTATTTCAACGGTAGATGATCTTTGGGATTCTGATACTAATGAAGTTATTTGTCAAAAAGCTTTGTTGGTCACACGAGATAACTGTTTGCCCACACAGAACTTGAACACTCAAAAGAGAATGTACAAAAAGAAGAATCAGAGATCACATCTTATGAGAACTAGATCTCAAACACGGGCGGGTCTTTGAAGATTCTACTTAGGGCTAGGGATTTTTAGGGAGTGATTCTATTTAGGGCTAGGGAAAGTTTCAACTTTGGGTTGGGTTCTACTCTTGTTTGTCTCTTTTTTGTTTGTTTTTCTGTTTCCGTATTTCTTTCATGTACTTTCTTTTGATTAATAAAATATTTTTTATTTAAAAAAAAAAAAAAAAAAAAAAAAAAAAAAAAAAAAAAAAAAAAAAAAAAAAAAAAAAAAATCATGAATGTACTTGATACAATAGGCAGTCCCCATAACCCTCATCTTTGTATTCCAGTCGAGATGTTCAACTTCTTTGACTGAAAGAAACAAAATAATAGACAGAAAATTTAGTCACTTGTGTGAGACCTATCTTGTTTCAACTCAAAATAATCAACTAATACTGTTAGTGTAAAACTATCTTGAAGCTAAAGACTTTGCTTTCCATATCAAATTCAAAGCAGGCAGATTCTGAATTGTAGTTAGCCTTACCAAAATCTTTATTCTGTGCAGCATGTTGTTCTTCCTTGAATGCAGCTCCTTGCCTCCTTCAGCCCTGGTCTGTGCTGCATTGTATTATGTTCGTTCTTCCATCTGTCCGGAGTTCCCCTGCGTCGCCCCCATCTTTGTCTGAATCGCAAGCTGCTGACATCCGAATGGTGAAATGATGCCTGTTGGAGAGCCCCTAGATCGCAAGCCGTTGATTCTGCCTCGACAGTCATGCGCTGCTCTGGTGGAAAGCCTCTAGATCGATTCAAATCTGGCCAGCGTGAATCAGAATTGGTTCTGCGAGACCGATTCAAATCTGGCCGACCCTGTTCCAGATCCCTTCTGCGACGAAAAGAGAGAGATTGGCTACCCGCTCTGAAAAGACCATCGTGGATGTGTTCGACATTGGGGCGTGATTCTCAGATCCGGATGCGATAGACTCCCAGTCGCGGCCACGGTACTTCCATAGTTCCATCCGTAAAAGTAGTCGGTCGTTCCCCTTTCCCCCATACGGAATGAAATAGAGTATATACGGTTTGAGACGCGTAAAAGGATTTAACTTCCGTTAGTAATGGAAGATGCTAACAGGTTAACATGTACAACAAAGTAAATATAAAGTACAATGAAGTTATGCAACAAGAGACACCAACATTTTTTTTATGCCCGTTAAGCCCTTAACAATATTCACACTTATAATATTGTAGAGATAAAAGTTCTTCCACTTCAAACTTCAATTCATTTAGATACTCTAAATGGATTCCTCTGTGAGTTCCTTATATGGTTGTGCATTTTGATATTACGTACCTTAAAATTCTCTAGTATTGATCCTCCTGTGGAGCATATTCTAGGATCTGGAAATTGGTTTACAAAGCATTCATACAACAAAACAAGCTATTGATGGAGAAAAGCATTCCAGTACTTTTCTGTAGTACTGATCCCTCGGGAGAACCACCCTTTCAGGAACATGTGTCTCTATGCATCGTCCATTTTCATCAAAAGTAGCCATATATGTGACTCCTTCTTGGTTTTGAACTTCCTTGGATGATTTCTTCATCTCTTGGACTCTTTTCATTGAACAATTGGTCAATATATCTTGTAAACTTCCGTAGGAATTCATTTGTTGGCAAAAAGTGTCACTTTCTTCACGCAATTGACCCGAAATTTCGCAAAAGATGTTATGAATGTGATTTTTACTTGATTTCATGAAACTTGAACCACAATATCTAAAACATGCCTTTTCTTTCTATTTTCAATCAAAAATCGCTTAATTTTGATAAGAAAAATAAGTACAAAAATGGACTTATCAATCTCCTCACACTTAAGCGTTGCTTGTCCTCAAGCGACAAATTGGTTGGAAACACACTCAAAAGGGTAAAACCTGACTGTATTACAATCGAGTTGCTATTAAAAACGTACAAACAAAAACCTCTTCTTTTATTCTCAATTTTTTAACATTTTAGAAAAATCACCCAAAATATAAGAATTTAAAATTATTATTGCTAAAGAAAAACTATTGATTATGTTAAACCACCAATCAATTCCTTATCCCAAGGTTTTCATTATTCTAAATTGGACATACATCTTGTTCACCAGTTTTTTTTTTTTTTTTTTTGCCTCCTTTTCACTCTTGTTGGCGGTGTTATCCCATGGTAAATGCATACTTCATTCTCACAGACTATGATTAACGAATGAAACAGAGCCCCTTTTCGGAGATGGAATTGTCCTATAACAATGAGTTTTGGAGTTTTATTAATACTAGCATTTTTGTTTTAATGAATAAAATGAATGTCCAATTAAAACAAATTCAGCCCTTTACATTCACAACCAAAAACCCATAACAAATTTAAGTTTTCTAAAAATAATAATAAAAGTAAATTCTTATAATAAGGGTGATTATCTAAACTATTATGTGATTGATAACAAATTGAGAAATTAATGTTTCATATAAAAAATAGTAAAAAAATTGTTCTAAAATAAGGTTTTAGCTTTTGAGTGTAAAACGCAACCTCCTCACACTTGAGCTAGACCTCGCCCTCGGGGTCTCTTTTTAAGGCACAAAGTTTTGAAATAAAGGCATTTTTTTTGTTCTTTCCTCACACTTGAGTTTTGAAAAGATTTTGTGAAGAGGAACGATGAAAACAGGAAAAAAAAATCCTTACATCATCCATAGTCAGTTTTTTTCCGAAATCGGGTCAAAGCGTTCAGCTCACAATTTATTTATTGAAGCACAACCTGCAAACATACAAAACAAACAAACAAAGTTATGAAAAAAACATGGGTTGCCTCCCAAGAAGCGCTTCTTTAATGTCACTAGCTTGACGTTTGAGAGAGAACCACCCGTCATGCAAATCACCCGTGGAGCACTCATCATCAAGATCTCAACCTTCCCTTCAAGATATGCCGCCAAATGGCGTGGACCTTTAAACTCTCGAGACCACCAGGATGTAACATAGTCATCATAAACTGCATCATGTGAACTTGGAATAACAAATCTGTCACCCCCCTCTTCAGTAACAACAAGAATCTCAAGCTTGGATGCCTCTGGTGCCTGAAATCGCTCAAATGGGACCACCATGGTAAGAACATTACGAGTAGGCTCCTCCTTTTGGTTTTCTTCTTCTTCTTCTTCAACTATGACCTCGACATTTACAACACAAAATTCAAACTCCGTGTCACTCTCTAAAAGTGCATCCCAACTTTGCTCACTACTCCCACAAATATCATCTAGGCAAACAAGTCCTTGCCTAGCACAATTATGCTCATCATCATTAAGTAGAAAATCAAAGAAGGCATCATTGGGCATTGTGATACGTTTGTAATTTCCGTGTGTTTATTTACGTTTTTAGTTAGTTTTGGTTGTTTAGTATTTCGGAAATTACACACTTTCGGTGTAATAGTTTAGTTTGTTAAATTCTTGTAAATTGTTTAGATTAGGTTTATTCTGAGCTCAAACAGGTCTAACATCACTCAAAGGACAGTTGGTGAACCCCAAAAGTGGAAGGAAGGTGCAAAATCACAAGACAAAAAGGGAAGATCCCGATTTTGGTCTATACTCGGTCGAGTATTACCTATACTCGATCGGGTATCTTGTTGAAATTTCAAATCGGATCGGATTCGGAAACAAAGGAACATGCAGGGAAGATTTTACCACGATCGAGTGTCTATACCCGATCGGGTACACCGACATACTCGATTGGGTATAGCTATGAATTCTACTCGAATATCGATCGAGTATGGATCGAATTCGAGTTTCTACACATACTCGATCGAGTATATGTATATACTCGATCGAGTACCCGACCTGCACCTCAAAAAGCCTATAAATACACCTCCTTTCCTTCACTTTAAAATACCAATTCCTTTATACTCTTAAGCTCAGTTTAGAATAACATTTCTTTATATTTCTTCTAGCATGTTAGTCTCCAAATGAGGAGCTAAACTTCCATTTCTTGGTATTGCTCTTGAAGCTTGTTGATTATTAATGTTGTGAGTTATTTTCTTAACTTCTTTCCTTGAATATTAATTCTTCCTTTAAAATACTATTTCTATATCAATGTTGGGGAGTGTTGCTAAGATGACAATTAGTTAACATCTTGACATTGGTCTTAGTAATAGCTATTCCTTCCTCTATGTTAATATCGGGGAGTGTTACTAAGATGACAATTAGTTAACATCTTGATATTAACTATAGTAGGATTCATTTTCTTTAATATTCTTCCTTGAGTATTAATTAATTCTTATTCATATTTCATATTAATATTTTGAACATTACTTAAAGGATCAACTAGTTTTGTTTCATATATTAATTATTACTAGAAACGATCTACGAACCGATGGTTAATCGTTGATGGTTTCACAAGTAAGTAACTTCGGTTTATTAATGCACGGTCGTGGTTAATAAACTTAAGAGGGATTAATTTTGTTGGTTAAACCGAAACCGTTGTGTTGAGGTTATCAATCTCATTTGATTTCATCAAGGAGTTAAGAGATTAAATGCTACTATCAAATCGGTATATGGCGTTGTTTTATTCTTGATTAATAGTAAGGGTTATTAATGAACGGTCGTTGTTAATAACTTTCCTCGATGAATTGGATATACTCCTCGATTGAGTATTCGAGAGGAGATAAGTTATAGATATAACAATGATCGACTGAAATATATCAACAAGTGGAAAGTAGTAATGCCAAGTCCTTTTTATCTTTGAATTAAATCACATAAGTCGTTCATCTTTGTGTTAAGTTTAATCAAATCATTCAACCCAAAACCCCCCTTTATTTACTCCTTTATTTACTACGCTATACTACGTATTAGTGCTAGTATTGAATTTATTTTGAGTGCACATACGACAAAGTGCCCGTCAAATTTGGCGCCGTTGCCGGGGAAAGGCAATTAATTTTTCTTTTTATTTCATTTAAAAGAAAAAAAAATATAGTTCCAAGTATAAAGATTTCTATTTCTTCTGAGCTTTGTAGTATATGGTTAAATATCGTTCACTGAACGAAATCACCTACAAATCAAACCCTGAAATAGAACAAACTCTTGAACGGTTGAAGAATAAATTCTCAAGCTCCGACTCGGGAGAATCATCAAGTGCTAGTTCTCAATCTAGCGAGACTGAAGAGCCAATTACTATGGCTCATGAAACGAGAACATTGAGGGAGCTCACGGCTCCGAATCTAGATCAACAGCCCCTATGTATCACTTTTCCAACTCTTGATACGGGGGTCACATTCGAGCTAAAATCTGGGCTCATTCATCTACTCCCATCATTCCATGGTTTACGAGGGGAGGATCCGAACAAACACTTGTCGGAGTTCCATATTGTGTGCACAAGCATGTGCCCCAACGGTGTCTCGGAAGAGCAAATCAAACTGAGGGCCTTCCCATTCTCCTTGAAGGACACCGCGAAGGATTGACTTTTCTATCTTCCTTCGGGAAGTATCACTACATGGCCACAAATGAAGAAGGCTTTTCTTGACAGGTACTATCCCGCTTCTATTTCATCATCACTCAAGAAGCAAATAAGCAACATTGAGCAAAAAGATGATAAGTCTCTATATGAATATTGGGAGAGATTCAAGAAGCTATGTGCGAGTTGCCCTTATCACGGATACACCGAACAAGACCTCATTCTCTACTTTTATGATGGTCTTGTGGATCAAGATCACCGCATGGTGAATGCAGCGTGTGGAGGAGGCATTGTCAACAAAACCCCTTCGCAAGCGAGAGATCTCATCTCGGAGTTGGCCGAGAACTCTAGACACTATAACGGGCGGTCCTCAACTCGTAGAATTATGGCGGCGGAATCCAACAACTCGTTGGAAAGTCAAGTGAACGGCTTGACAAGTCAAGTGACCGGCTTGACTTCTTTGGTTAAGGATTTCCTTTTAAAGTCCAAGACCCAAGAAGTCAAGGTCTGCGGTATTTGTACACAACAAGGGCATCCCACGGACTCATGCCCAACTCTTCAAGAAGACACCACAGAACAAGTCAACGCCTTGGGTTTCCAAGGACATCAACAAAGGAGGTACGACCCATTTTCAAACTCCTACAACCCCGGATTGAGGGATCATCCAAACTTGAGGTATGGAAACCCTCAACAAGTCAACCCACCTTCTCAATCGAGTATGTCTACGAAAGACATTATTCGAACTCTTGCTACTACCATGGGCACCTTGCAACAAAACGTGTTGCAATTTCAACAAGAAACGAAGTCAAGCATTCAAAATTTGGAAACTCAAGTTAGCTAAATTTTGAATGTTGTGAATCGACTTG